GCGTATATTCTGATAAGTAATGCTAAAATTGAATTGATAAAATCGTCGTTTGAACTGTTGCTGCACCGAAGGCATTTTTGCTTGACGGAATTCGAAGAATCGTAAATATATTACTTGATTGTCATCTGCTTTTTACCGTTCTGTCTTCGATCAAAATTATTAAAGAATGGGTTGCAGTTCCTAATCTGTTTAGGTATCTGTGGCCCGTCCTTAAGACGATGATGTCGTGCCGACTGCTCAGGCCGTACCTGGATCTATGTCACTGAAACGATAATATTTTTTAATTATCCTGTATTTTCTTTCTATGTATTGTCTGACATATGATTTGTAGGCAAATAAGTTGCTCAGATCAAATGAGCTCCGGATGACAAGACGATATTTGAATCTTGAAAGACATCTACTCAGAACAGTTATGAGCTCACGCTCACTGATCACACATCACTGATACAATCATCTCACACGGGTTCATGTATTCTTGGCCTATCATAATTATTCTCAGGAACATAAAGGATTACTGCTTGGTATCGATGATTTCACGATAGAAATTGTAGCAACAGAGTTCTTTGGTGATTTTGTTCGTTTCTGCAAAAACCGATCTGGTCCAATCCGTAACCATCAACAGGCAAACCTTCTGACTCAAACCCAGCAACCGTCAATTGCCTCTTCGCCCTTATTCTGTAAACCGTGATGGCTTCCCTCGATGTGCTCAAGGCTAGTGCCCATAATCAAGTCAAAGCATGGTAGTTTGATTAGACGATCTAAAGCTGAGGAAGGCTTCCATTCGATTATTGTATTTCACCACCGGTAACCGTCAGCGCCTAAACCAACTACCAAGTCAGGGGAGATTTCTGTGAATCTTGTTTATTTACTTCTACTATGTCCACTGAATGCTGTTGTTGTTGCTGCAATTGTTGGTATTGTCAGCGTCGTGCTAGCCGTCTACGTTACAGTATTTCAGTGGTCATAACTGCGCGTTAAACGAGTCTTGGTGGAAGCGACGGCGACCGGTGTCAACATGCTTGTGGGTTTACTTATGCCGTGACAGATTCACAGTCTCGACTGGATTGTCTGACTGGCCGTCTGTTTCACGGCTGAAAAGTTTACCCGCGAGTAAATCTCTGTCTGGCTATGTGGCCGGGGCAAAGAAGCACCCCACCTCATTTACGCCTAGCAGAGGGGGGCCAATGTACCCGTGTTTGTGTCGTCGAACAAGAAAAGGTGGCCTTTGCTGAAGCACCGCTGTCGTCGCTTCTACCCTCGTATAACTGGACGATGTTGTTGCAGCTGTCGTTGTTGTCAGAGTCTGCGCCACCCAAAATGCCCCGATATGGGCGCACCGTTAGCGGCAGAGCAAGACGTTGACGAGGATCACAAACAGCATGAGTATTGGAAAATTGCTATGAGGATCAATGGCTGCCACTTGGTGAACGAAGGGGGCGCGTGCGCCACCGAAAACAGACAGAGGGGTGGATGTCTTAAGCTGCGACGACAGCCATAGCAGCAACATCGATTTGAACAGTTACGATTACAATGGTTGCCATCCCTACAGTCCCTAAATAGATTATCGTCACTTTGCATACCAACTTCTGTGCTTGTTACTGTTGCTTGTAGATAGCGTCAAAAGCCTTCGACGGGCAGATTAATTCTACAATTCAGATTATTCCTGGTCGTCCATTACGGACATCATCCTTGCCCGCACTGACTGACGAACTCAACGAAGTTAGTTGACGGATGGCGGTCGGAGACCGACGTCGGTCGGTCGAGCGTTCGCGCTCGCTTAGATCGAACAATGTAACGCCGACGACCAAGTTAGGAGCAGTAGCTATGGCAATGACAGCCCATCACAACGCTGGGAAATCGACAAGTTGCTCGGTGTTATTTAACAATAACGGGTTCAAATGAATGTACCTGTTTGTTATCAACCAACACATTAACATACTGTCTATTCCGATAGCAGGAAAAACTTATACTATCCTGACGGTCAGAATGTAACAACTGGGCTAACGGCAGCAACAGAAACAACGATGATATCGATAACAAGATAAGTCTATGGAATCAATAGGTATTTCCGTCACTGTTGAATGAACATTAGAGAATGATGCGTGTTGCTGAAATGTTATTTTTGTTCTACGAAAAGAACCTCTACTCGGAATAATAGGACAGCCTAAGTAACAACAGAATAAACCTTAACCAGTTTACCAAATGATTCAAGACGTATAGTTAGCGTTGCTCATTTAAAGCTACCGGATATTAGGTCTTGCACGTTCGTTAATACCTTGTCGTAGGTGTGTGTGTGTGTGTATGGTACAGGCTCATGGCGATAGAAACAACGACGAAAAGCGGTCTACCTTTTTATACGGACTATAGTATCCTTCTGTTTGAAATGTATCAGTATCGAGCTGCCTGATGGTCCATTTGTTAGTATTTTTTTCGGTATATCGTGTAGAGATAAGCTACACATATGAAATTTTTTCGCTATTCAATCTCTACTCAAAAGTATAGTGTTTTATTTGTGTTAATATCCCACACTTATGTTCAGGTCACTCTACTTTTTCGTTGGGTTTTCTCATCGTATCCAGTTATCGGAGAGCATTTCTAACGGGTCGCACCCAGGTAAAATAACTGATAGCAAACATTAGACAGCACCATGTTGCACCACACAGGGTCACCATTCACAAAGGAAATCATCCATGCGCAAATTCGAACACTTGAAGAAGACCGGCGCCAACCGATAACTTGGCTATCGATCGCTAAATCCCACAGGAAAAGCTCGATAATCACAGACAACAACCTAATTTAATTAAGTACTTCGATCACCGCACGGTATAGTCCACTGTTGTTGACACTCTCTACGTCCTGTTATATTCAACACTCGCCTTCACGTTTGATGCCTTGTCGCACTGGTTGCCACTGCGAAAAAAATTCACTTAAATGCTCATTTGGGACTGGAGAAGACGCAAGAATTGCATAGATAAACAGCTCGTGTCGGTAGCAGATGGAACGATGGAAATAGCCAACAACGGTCAATTTTCACAGCGACATTCTTTAAAACGCAATCGAATCCAGCGACTGAGATCGAATGTTTTCTTCTATCCTAGAGATGGTAGCCTGGTAGTTGTATCACGGTGCCGTACTGCTGTAGCGATTTATTTCTTTTTTCTGTTCTCCTTTCTCGGTCGACAGGCTATCCTTATTCTATTTCGCTCTCTGTTGTTCCTCTCTCCCTCTCTCGCTCGCTCTCTCTATCTCTATCTCTCCCTCTATATGTATATCTCTGTCCTAACTCCAAACTACTCCGTTCAAGAACAGACACGTACTCTCTCTCACTGTCAGCTGGAGAGATACAAACATGACTTGCTAGTTACGGGCAGAGCTCCGTTAGACGCACGATTAGGCATTTTCTCCGTTGGTCTGGAGTTGACAACCGGGAATCGTCAAGCAACTGGAGCCTGCACTTGAGCTCCGTTGGTACTCCGGAGTCCCCGTCTGACCAATCGAACAGGGTCCGTTCTCTGTTCCGTTTATTAGCACGAAGCTCGTCATTGAAGTGTGCGCATATCAGTCGAGTGAACTAGTGCCGAGCGGTAGAAGTACTTATCGTCGAATAGAGTGCAGTGCTATGTGCTTGCGTTCGTTCCGTGGCCGAACTGTGTGTCTGTCGTGTGTTGTTCGCTGTGGGGGCCCAATGATCAAAATAAACACATGGCCACTGTCGTTCGTTGTTCCGTTCCACACAGACCGCCATTCTATTCCACCATTGCGCCGCGGTTGCCGCGGCTGCAGCTGATACCGCCGTTGTTACCGGCTGCCGCAGTAACCGCTGCAGCCGCGCGGAGCGCTGTGATCGCCGGCTGCGCTCCGGTGCCCGGCTACGATAGGCGAGGGTAGTCGTAGTCGATGGTAACAGGGATATAGGCAACGGCGGCTGCCGTTGGCAGTATGCAGGGAGTGACAGGGACGCTAGTCAGTCAATCACTAGGCTACTGTAGGAGTAGGACAATGCTACAGATAGCATACAGCTGTGGAAGGCACGTCGACACAGACAAACAGACAGGCCTTACGAACACCTGTCGAGCAGACGTATACGCTAACAGAGCGATAGGCCGATAGACAGAGGGAGAAGCAGTCTGCCTGAGGCGGGCGGGCGGTCGCTCTGTCTATTGTTGCCGCCAGCGCCGCCGCTACTGTCATTAATGTTTCAATGTCGTACTCAGATATATAGTGAAATTATAGCAATGATGACGGCTACTAACACCATAAAAGTACCTCTGTTTGTCTGCCCCAAGAACAGAATTAATTCAGCTGTCGCCGTTGTCGACTTAGCACAGCGTCTGTCATCTAATTGAGAACGGGAAGCTATACAAAAGCGAAGGATCAACATTTGAATAGATTTACTAAGCTGGGCTGCTCTTTGAGACTGGATTATAACATAACTGATTCACAAAAACACATATTCAATGTACGTTGCTATGACATGTGTTTGAAACCATGGCTAACGGCAGTACCGGACGTAAAACACTGAATATTCACTAGATCGCAATGGTACAGCGGCAACCTCTGTGCCTTCCGTTCGTAGGAAAATACGAGTCTGCACCCAGATTCAGCCGTAAACGTGCGTCAGCCCAACCAGCAATTGGCAACATTTCAAACGTGCAACCTGAAAACCTTGCAGCAGATAGTGGACTAGTCAGATTTAATTCATGAGCGGAACCCGTTTTCGAATGTCTGAAATACGGTCTAAGGAGCATCGAAATCGTCTAGTAGGTCTCCCTGATTCAAACATGTGTTCTTGTTAAATGCGCGCTATATTATGTAACGTAGATTTAGGTCCACCTTGAACAATGTGTTAGAAATACGTCCTACACAAAGAAAACGACTTTTTTGAGTTAGTGTCTGACCTCGGGTTCATCTTAGGGGGGGGGGGGGTAGCGTTTGTGAAGTAACCATAATTATAGACGCGTTACTATATATATATTCATTTTTTTTCATGTATTCTACAGGTGTTGGTGAGCAATCGGTTTGATGTCGACAACCCCCAACAGCCATTCGATATATATAGTCAGGGCGATGAACTTTGGTCGTTCGAAGGTGAAGAGTTTGAGGATCGAATAAGATGGTTTGCTGAGAATTGTGATCGCTTATTAGGATTCAACATAATTGCTGATGCAGCTAACGGCTTTTCAGGTTCGTAATACACAGAGCGTGCTAAAAGCTATTCGGGTTGGTTTACAGTCTTTTGTTATGGTAGCAGTGCGTTGTACGACATACAGGTTGTGTTGTGCCCTAGCCTAGTATAATAGGTAAAATGGTTCAGCTGAACAATCAAGTCTTATCGAGTACGTGTACCGTTTCTATGCATATTACGAAGATCCAGCTCGAAGCACAGGCAGATGCTCACAGGACTTCTCTTACTTATATTCAGATTAGTAAACCTACACTTGTTTAATACGATATTATTAGATATACAAAGGATTGATAAACTTCTATTATGGAAAAGATTGTTTCCTCTACGGGTAGCTCTAAGTGCATGCGTCATCTAGAAGAACGAGTGGGCGCTTGTTCTCGAAAGGTGGCAAGTCTTGAGAATTCTAGCTACGATTCTTCCTAGTTCTTTTTTAGATCATAAAGAATCTAGAGCCCTATACGAGTGATTAAGTAACAAACGCGCACTCAGTAGCAACTATTCAGATTCCGCCTCCTTATGCGTTACAGCACAATACGGCATACTGAATAATACCGAAATCTACAGACACTGAAACCTGGCTTTGTAATCATATGTCAGTTTATGTTATGCAGAAGTAGTCTATCATTGTCGCCCGATAGGCTTTCTCTAAAGTGATTGAATCTGAACTGCCTATGCACAAATGCGGTGTTGAATACTTTGGATAATTGAAACAGGAACTTATGGTAAGAGCACTTCGCCCGTTTAAGTTAAAAAGCCTCATAAATATCTAAGAACGAAACAGTCTAAATAAATGTGCAACTACGTAACGGTTAACGAGCGCACAATTCGAATCCACAAAACAAAGAGTAAATAATAATATCAATATTTTTGGTTACAGGATTTACGAGCAAGTGCCTAGACCACCTTGCAGACGCTTATCGTGGCAAGACTTCTGTGATCTGGGGCCTCTTTGATGTTCCTGGCGATGAGAAGTCGGCGGCCTATCGGTCTATGAATGCAGTTTTGGGCTATCATAAAATGCACGAAATGGCCGATTTGATCCTTCCGTTGGCTGTTACGACGGACGGAATTGGAAGAAACCTTCGGCGAAGTACGATTCCACTAGACCTAAGTGCGTTCACGGGCGGAGCTGTCCTGTCTCTACACATAGACTCGATTCTCTCATCGCTGAAGCTCAAATCTGACAGCGGTTGTGACCTAGCAACTTTCTCCAAGACGATGGCCGAGGGTCAACGAAAGTTCGTAGTGAGCTCGATGATAACTCAACCCACGAAAGATTCGCAGGTGGAGTGTTTTACGCCGAAATGTCCTACGCCGAGACATAGTCGCAGCACCTTCGTTGCGATTCGAGCGTCTGACGAATTGCAAAAGAACGTGGCCAAGATTTGCGGATCAAACCCTGCTTCTACGTTATGTACGTCCATAAAACATCCAACAAAATTTCTAGAGGACCGCTTTTTTCCTGCAGCATCAGAAATCGCGATGAGGGGTTCAGGACAGTTAAGTGGCGTCTATGCCTTGTATAACTCAGACGCAATATTGACCCATTTCGACGACCTGTTGAGGAGACGGTTCCATTTGAATAAAATGCATCGCTTAGCTGTCGCGAAGGGAGATCTAGATGAAGCTGTTTACGGGTTGGCCGGAATTAGAGAACACTATATTTCGTAGGAGTTCTCTGAAATCAGTCTTCGATGATTAGGTTGTAAGTTGCGTCAATAAATTTATCGTCACCCCAATATGTATTTTGTGTGTGTGTGTGCTTTTTGACTTAGATAGAACTATTTCTTCAAGTCAAAACTAAGATTTATCGTAGGCCGTTATGGGGGATTTTCGTTCAGTTAGTCCTTGGGTGGTTGAAGTTCATTAATAGCTATTTTGTAGCTATTTAGATACCGGTCAGGATCAACTAGTCAAATGACAAAATTAAAACGAATCCGGCTTCTAATGTTATTCCTTGACGATTCACTTAAACAATCGTCAAAAAGGCGAACCCATGGTGAAATAACTATTAAATACGTCCTATAGAAGCAAGAAACCAAAATCATCTTGTTACCGCTTTGTAGGGTCGAAGGTTCGGACTGTAAAAAAGCAGTTCTTTCAGCTCTATTTGCCACACCCAAAAAGCTAGAGGTCAGGAGCTTGCCACCCAAGGACGTAACAAGTACTTTCAAAGACGTAATTATGATCAACTATTTTCTGCTATGCCTGCGCTTCAAAGGCTTTTTTTTTCTAGATTTAACTATATATGTGCCTGATTAAATGATTGAGTAAAAGACAAAATTATCATTTTCAAACAAGCGTTACTGTAATGCACGAAAACTCGAACTTTAATTAATACTAGAGGTCTAATAATGTTGTTTAATTTCGGACTCGGTTTTCGTAGTCCTTTTCAATTGGTTGCAAACCCAAATGATTGAAAATCCTCGGTTTACCTAAATGACAGTTTTAACAGGTGTCTGTGAGGTTTAAAGGAGAATCAAGCGTGAGATTAATCGTATTTTCCCGGTCTCCATTGCCTTTACTGCACATTTTAATATATTAGAATTTGTTCCTATGCCGTTTTTACTTTCGAACAAATTTTTTTTCTGTACCATTCGCCCAGATATTATATTCAATCGATAATCTAGAAATTTTCAAACCCAATATATGTACCCCTTTATGGGCATAGGCCGTCCTGAGTCGAGATTAACGTAGCAATCAAGCATCATAAACCGCGGTGTTTATGAACAGCTACCACCGAATTACAAGTAATACAAAGCTAGCGAGGGATGTTAGAAAGAAACAAGCGGGCAAGAATAAGAGACGATTTGTACACGGTGTTGGCAGGTAACACCTGACTATCTGTTTCAACTAAAAAAAAAAAGTTTTGAGACATTGCTAAAGAAATATATTGAACTGAACGTGCGGATTTCAGTCCGCAAAGGGTTACGCTGGTCCATAGCGCTGAAGACTCGATAACAGTGGAGGCTTGACTGGCCACGGACCTTGAGAAGAACTTGCTCAGCTGCCCTTGTAAATGAATATTCTCAACTATTACGAGCGAGGTATACTATTATGCACTTAATGGTTCTTTCATTAACATTTTGATGTGCTTGTGAAACGGAATTCGTTAGATTTGTGGCTTTTCAGGCTGTTGTCAACTAAAAGCGACTGAAAATTTAGCGCCGTACGACGGAAAGACGTTGTTGATATAAGTATACAACACCGTCGATTAAGACTATACAACAAACATCAAGAGCCCTTAAATCAAATTCGCTGCCCCATTGAGCACTTACAATGGAAAATACTAAAGCGGTTGTTATCAATAAATCTCTAAATAATGTTTCTTCTTTTTTTTTTTGTAAGATAAGCAGCTTTAATAGAAGCTCAAGATTCTCTCCGCTTTATGCGGCCAAGCATATAACGACAATGAACTAGTACTAAGCTAAGTATAAGTAGGTTCGCTTTACTTTGTTACGATATGTATTTGCCGATTTGTCCGCTGGTGACGCGATCTAAAAGAGTTTCCTTTGCCTCATACGCTGCTTAAAACTCATCATTTGACTCGGTATGTTATTGTTGTTATAATAATCATTGTTTCAGATCGACTTAGATAGGTAGGAAAAAAAGAAGTGAATTTTTTGTGCCATCTTTTTCTAGGGAGCCCAAAAGGCTACGAACGCAATCGGTGACATGTGCTCCGGGTGGGGAGAAAGCGCTGTAGTTAAGAGGTATAGGCTCGATCAGCAACTGTATTTCTGGAAGCAACTCAACGGTACTTGAAAGAGCCGAGTGGATTATGCTCTTTAATGTCGAAGACGCTGTTTTTAAACAAGGCAAGCCTCTTTTCTGCAGTTCTCACAATGGCAAAACTTTCCCCGTAGACGGGCAAAGGTGTTCCGGAATTATTTCGCAGCTTTCTGGGCATAAAATAATGCCATAAGTGCGGCTGTTTTTTATCACCCGAAATGCTATATACGATTATGACAAATTAGGGGGCGAGGCGTTGAGGCCAACGCGTTCGAATACTGGTTAGCCCTAGTCTGGCCGATTCCCTCTAGTTTTATGCTACCGTATAGTCGGGCTTATTGCTTAGAATCTCAAGAACAACCCGAATTTAAAATTGGCGGTAACGCTCACCAGACTTCAACCCTGATTGGCTTTCAGAGACAACGTCAATTGATGGCTATTAAATATAGATGATTCTGGGGAAAGTACGTATTTTGCCACACACATACAATCTGCTTAGAAGAATCTAGGGTCATTAGTTCAAGTACCGTCATCAACACACGCTACACAAAAGTTGTAACGAAGAAACACGTGTCGTGCCAGCAAAAAGCAGCGGTCGTATTTCTTCAAGTGTGGTTTATTCATAGCTGGAGAAATAAAGTAGGCCCGGAATCGTAGATTAGTCGAATTGGAGTAGTTTCTTGACCAGTTTTACAAAGAAAATTAGGTCAACAGTCTTTACAATGCTTTCCCTAAAAGAAATCAATGAAGCTAGTGCATACAAAATGCTTATAATATGCAAAGGTACGCAACATAGTACGACCGTGATCTAGGATACAATTAGTACGCGTTTACTTGCGTCAGTTTGGCGCAAACTCACATGTCTGCTGTACAATTTACGCGGAAAAAAATAGTACATAACTCACCCTGGACTACTAAAAGATTACTATCCATAGTCGAATCGGAGCCAGCAAAAACGTACTTCTAATAGTTATAGAACGTAGCGTCTATAGAGTAGGTGTAATCACACGATAACGGCTCTGTGCCTTCTAAAAAAACCTAATCTTTTCAGCGATATCATTAGGAGGTCGTTGATATCCTAAACGGCTTCGAGATTTTGCGCTAAATAAAATCGTTTGATGATGCTTAATTAATGGATTCAGTAACACCGGCGCTTTGCTTTCAATCTATGAGGTTCATAGCAGTCACTTGTTTCGGCCTGGGTGTTTCGTCACTTAGGTCTGCACCCGAACAAGTTCGTACCTAGGTGTCGGTTACCTTCAGTGTACGCTTACGAGAGAATAGTGTGAAACTTTGATAGCCATATGCGTGATATCGCCTGCCCGAAAGACACTGCTTCTAGCGCGCCATTCGTCCTTCCTTAATCCTACCTTTGTCAGAAGATGATGAAAATCGGCCTATAACGTGACAACAGCTCGTAATTATAGTATGCAGCTCGCGCTAGTCGACCAGCTCACCTGGGCATATCGTAACGGTGTACTGGCTGCTACGAAGCCGCCGCCGCCGCCGCTGCTGCTGTTGTCTAGGGTACAGGGACGGCGATACGTATTGGTGGATAAGCGTAGGATTCGAAGCCGTTCTGGCTCGACAAGACGAGAGTACTTCTCGCTCAAGATAACAAATGCTTTGTACCGTATGATCATTATATTAATGCATTAGAAATACCCCGTTTGCATAAATAACGACATGTTTTGATTTTTGCGTCCGGTGCCGCCGTTAGGCGTCAAACGGCTGGCTGGCTGGTTGGCTGGCTCGCTCGCTCGCTCGCTTTCACCACGAAACGAACTCTGCCTACACGCCCGGGTTCGAACCCGGACCGTGACGTGTCTCTAAGATTAGGAGGCAAATACGTTACCCACTAACCTCTCACGAAGACATATGCAGTTATCCTATCTTGCAACAGTCTACGTTGAATGCAATCGCGTCCAGTCGGTTATTTTACTACCCGCAATTAACATTTAAGAAACTGGAACTGGCTAAAACCACAGCGCGATCGTTGTCACTAGGTTTTGCTTGTCCTTTACAACACATCAGCCAAAACGCGCAGCTCTCGGCCTCTTGGCTATATGGGCCGAAGCTCTCCATCCTCTAACACTTGACGGGCACATAACTGCGTTGACTTTGTTAAATATTCTCAACCACCAAGAGAACCTAAGAGTTACCGAGCTCCGGCCACCCATATCGTAACGCCTATCTAGGTAATTACTTTTTTTTCAAAAGGAATTGTTATGATTAAACGGTGCATGTTCGATCATCTATTTCTGGCGCTCTTATAGCAGGCCATCGTAAGCTTGCCTGCGTCATGAAACTTGCATGACACGGAATAAAGCAGGCGAGCACTGAAAGATAAGCTAAGTGCCTCTCTGTCTAACACAGGTAAGGGGAACCTTAGTCTCGTGAGACGAGATGACCAGTAGGTTAACATAGAATAGCGTTCGCATACGAATCGCAGCTATAACAGATTATGCCGGCAGGACTGCATCGTGCCAAAAAAACAATTCTGTTAACAGCGTATGTGTATAGCTGCTCTTCTACGTCTCATGGTGCGTTGTGAGATTTGACAGTGCGTGGGGTCGAAGTCGCTACGAGTCTTTGCCGTCCTAAAGAATTCATCGTACGTGTCGCCTGACAAAAGTTATTTTGATGTAAGCTAAATGTTTGTTGACCTTGAACTTCGTACTCGGCCTGAATAAAGATATTGTTGTAAGGTATCCATTTATTCCGCAATTAAAATTAAATGCCACTGCGGCTTTGAGCAAGCTAAATCTACTCGACTACAGAACATGCAACTTAGAAGTTGGCGTACTCGTTGAATGCATAATCAACTTGTTAACTGCAAATCGAATGTGTAGCACGCTACGTAAGTAACTGTTCCGTAAGGCCTGGCTGGTGCTTGACGCGCTCCATGCGCCAGTTTTGATAATGATGTCCGTAGATACGTCTAACACTACCACATAGCGCGATAAGCTAGAGATAAACTTAGTTCGTTCAATTAAATCTGAGTTGAACAAAAATAAGATATAGCTAGATAAGGAACATCTTTGGGAGCCATTTTTTTTGGGAGTTCCGCATGTGTCTTGCATGCAATGTGGTTTTTCGTGTTATTTTCACTAAATGTCTCACGTTTCTCACGGCTATTGCAAACATTATCCGTCATATATATATAAGTACACATAAAAAAAAACGACAGAAAAAAAAATGCCAATTGACTAAGACGTATTTTGGGTCACGTTTTTGTATTGTTCAAATAAATACGATACTTCATTTTTGTTTATAAAAACGTCGGCTTTTGCTTCCAGCAAATGCTTATCTAGGAAAATTCAGCTATAACCTTGATATGTATGCTAGTAATGTACTAATGCGGAGCTTTTGCGGAAAACTGCGATGTTTTGAAACCTTCCAACAATTGCCCAGATCATCGTTAGTACAGACAAAGCGGTGAACCTGCGGCGATTTTGGTCTGAAGAACTTGGTGACAGAAAGGCATTTACTGAATATATAAAACGGTCCAGAAGGTCAGCTCATACACATAAACTGAAACAGTTAAGTGCCGTAACAGCGGAAATAATCGGAATTCTAGGTATAATCGTGAAAAAAAAAAAAACTATGGTTTAATAAATGAAATATCTCCCTGTGAAAAGTGACTACTGAACTTACTGTGATTCACTGCCCCTGAGCGGATTGATTGGAATACGATATTGAGAAGCAGTTTATAGATGGGCGCTTTATCCCGAATCGTCCAATGCCCTGCCCATGTATTTTGACGGCAAAGTGACGCCAGCCTTTTTGGTTGGCGTACAGCGGTTTTCGGGGGCAACCCAGGTGCGATGTAATACGTGGCATTATCTAGCCGTATATATTGGACAGCTATATAAATGTTTCAAGTTTCCACTGGTACGGTACGTCGTATGTCTATCTAGACTGTTTCAAGTGTTATATTGTACGTTGACTTCCATTACGCCCAGCGTTTATTTCCAGCCAGCAAATTGTATTTAGTTAAACGGCCTGCTAACAAGTTCATTTGTATCAGCTGTGTTTTCTGCTTTTCTATTAGATAGCAGTTACGTGTGTCTAACTATACAATGGCAGGCGCGCTTATGAGTGCGTAATTAGTGGCGATATCGGAAGTGACATCTAGCAGCGACCATCCTCAACCAGTTAAAAGTAAGTAGGTAATGGATCGTATACTGGCTGCATTAGATTATCAGTAGTTCCTGTATCACTGACTCCTGCTCTTCGCTTCTCCACGAAATATTTCATTTACTCTTGGCCAGGTGTTTTCTACGGCATTCATGTCGCGTTTCATTGTTCTAACGTATAGATAAATACCGGTATCTACTTGTAGCCAATCCATGTTTCGATCCCTGGGTTGAACATTGATGTTTTACTCTGTCGTTATCAGTTCACAGTTGGTCCAACAAGCAGTCTTCAACCTTTTCTAGTCGTGTATTTTCGCCCGAAAAACAAATGATTTATGCCCCGTCTCTGGCTTCTACTTCTAGCTGTGTGTATGTATGTATGGGTTTTCCTCCCGCTGCTATTTGCTTTCTATATAATTACTGGCGGTAGATTGACAATTTGTCATCATTACGTGGTCAATCACGTGTCTTGCCTTTGCTTGACTATTCCGATTGACACGACCACTTTCCCAACAGACTGAACGTTCAGTTAAATCTTTCTATAAAGCATTGTCGCCGCCGAGTAGAACCTTAACGTTCTGCACGTATAACGGAAAGCTGTAAAAAGAAAGATGGCTGCGAAGGACTCGTTGCAGTTTTCCACAGTGGCTTATAATTTACGTACGCATGCAATAGTCTGAACGTCCTGTTCGCGCCCGTGCGTGAGTCGTCGAAAACGACACATGCGTACGTGTCACTGTTTTTTCGCTGCGCGGTTCGTGGAAATGGAATATTCACAAGGATGAAATTTAATTTTACGACAATTGCAATAGAAACATTACTAACGCTTTAGGCAGACGGCGATTGTGACATTCGTTTACGTGTTCGACCATTTTTGACGCTGACTTTTTTCGTGTGAATACGGACCCGAGTATAGCAGGAAGTAATAACGGCGTGGTATATGAGTAATTGGAAAATAATAGTGATTTGTCGTTGGAAAACTATTGCTTATAGCAACAACAGTGGTGATAATTTGAGCGACAGCCACACGTTACAAATGTATCAATGGACGCGGCGCTGATAACAGGTGGTAATGATCAACCACCGATGGCAAACAAGGGGAAAAGTATAAGAAGAAATGGCTATTTTTTTGTGTAAGCCGGCCGAACAAACGATTCAAACTTGACAATACTAAGAGAGGCTAGCTCATGGCATCATTGTTATATTCCAACTTAAATCTTCTGTTAAATGATAATTTCTATTAAACTAATAGCTAGCTGCGTAAAATAGACATTGCTATAGCAAAAAATAGAAGACGGTACCACGAGAAGATGAAAAAGACCGAAGGAAAAAATGCGTGAAAATCAAGCTAATAAATACCATATATTGAATATAATATGTGCTTGTCGTCGCCAACCCTCGTAAGAGCTGCTATACTGGTGATGGTCAAGAAAACTGCTGGCGTCGTATGCAACTGTAGATGGATTGAAATCGGGGGCTGGTTCTTCTTGATGAACCGAGATAAGCACAATGGCGGCCTTCATTGATATTTCCGTGTATCTACAAACGGATATACATATATATATATATATATATATATATATATATATATATATATATATATATATATACTTGAGCTAGAAACAAGACTTTTCTTGAATATAAGCAATAACTAAGTGAGCTTATAAGGCACAGACAGCCATAGCCTTGCCTATTTTTGCTTTATGTTCTGCTAACTTTTGAGCTGCTGATATTGTGAATGGAGAGCGTCGCGATTATTTCGAAAATGACCAGTAAAAATCGACAAAAATCTGATCTCGGCTTACGGAGGTCTTATATATATATATATATATACATATATATATATTCATGCTGCTTGAGTTATCTATACAACTGTGAAGATTTGACTTGGCGCATTGCATGTCCAAGCAACGTATCTGGGCCAAGTCGCCAAATTTTAAAAAATCATTTACTGCGACGCATATCGGTGCAAGTGACCATACACACAGAACAACTAGGACCTTTGCAGACAACGTCATTTCGGATAGAAGTACCTGTTTTAATTCGGTAACTTGCGTCAGGCGAGCCGGAATATCGTGGCAGTACATTTGAAACGCTGTTCCCTTAGGTCTTTATTTAGAAACTGTGTACTTGTCAAGTATGTATTAGTTAGCAGACCGAACGTGGCTAGCTACATATTGAGAGGCTAGAGAGTCTCGCCGATATGCCTTTCTCACGAATGCGATGAATGACGTAGACTTAGCCAGCGAATCCCAAGTAAGGGAACATGGTCTCGCCTCGCGCTTTTACCGTATCATAAGAGTCGATCTATCGACCAGCGTCATACATACGTGTCTCATACTTGAAAAATTCAGATTCGCAGTAGCCGTGCTCAAAATGTAAAAGAAAACGAGCAAACTGACATCAATTGTTGATTATATAAATAGTTATAACATTTGAAAATACGGTGGAAAAGCTTTCCTGTTACGAATATTGCTTTGGTGAATGAAAGCGGAACGCCGAAGTTACTGACTCATTGTGCAACAGTGAAACTTGCCGAGAGGAACTCGCGATAGCTGTTCAAATTAGATGATTTATCTTATGGCTAGCAACGACAGTCACTTTACGTGCGTAAGAGCGGACCGCTTTTAAATCAATCTAAGTAATCCTTGACGTTTAGCTGCAAGACATAAACAGCAAGTATTATGCAGCTTCTTCAATATAGCCGTTTGCCAGCTTCCATCAATCACTATTCGTCAAGCAAAAGAGGATCATTAGTCCGCCAATGAAGTCAATAGAGTCCGCCAAACGTTGACTACTTAGAAAGCACAGGAGATGCGAACGACGAGAATCGTACGTAAAGTTTCTGATTTTCGAGGCGTACGAGCTACTTGATCAAAAGTCCTCTTTGGGTACTTCAATTATTCGATCTGATGTATTTATGTTTCTGTGTGATCTGACGCGTTCAGACCTTACGTACTTAAACAAACACGGCTCCCCTATATCTACACCGATCCGATGGATTTATGTTCGCCGCCGATTCCTGATTTGCGGAAGTGGTAACTTTTAACTAAGCTTCTCGAAACATCTGCTGCGTATTTTCAAAGTTTGCGCACATATCCTTCTCTCTATCGGTTTCTTCTTCTTCTTCATCCTAAACAATTCGCTTCTTTCTTGTCCAGCCACTTTGCGGCTTGTTTAATAGGTTTTCAACCAATGATTGAAGTACTGATGAACGCTACAGATCCCATGGCAGTGTTACTCAAAACTGAGAATAGGTTTTTATGGTTGCGTCCTTGATTGGAATTTTACGATGTTGCATTGCTACATTGAATGTTTACAGCCTGTACTATAGTAAGATTTATAGTGTGGCCGTCCTGTGTCACCTTTCTTGACTATTTTCAGAATTTATTGGTACAAAAATCGTCCGACGCCAGACTGTGATTCAGGACTGTCTGTTTATCTATCTAAACGTCCGCCCTACCTCAAAATGCGATTCCAAGGGCCAGACTCATGCCGTTCGTGGGCCGCTGCGTGTCTAGCGGGACTCACGCAAATTCCCGTTCTTTTCTCGCTGAAGACTATGGGCGTTACCTTTGTCGGTCTTCTATCGGAGTGGCAGTTCTCTCGCCACGAGGCTTCCTGGCCTCTGACTTTACTTACCGCTTCTTCTCAAATTTGCGGTGAGTCTATTATTCATCAACGCTACCTCTCTGTTTTAAGACATCATATCATTGTTATTCGCTCGAGAAAGGAATTACGCTTTCACATAACCGTACGCACTATGCCTAGGGCTAGCAGGTTTGCTAAATAACTCTTCAATTAATTTGAATCTAGTAGGATAGCAAAATTACAGTATCGTCAAGTCCTTCAGACAGTAAGCCTATTCATTTGAGCGCAAAATTCCTAAAACACCTAAATGTCGTATCAACGAACAGTAGAGACTCTGTTATGATCATTATAACGGTTTTATAATTAAAAATCGATCTTGTCACGACATAGGTCCAGCGCTTCAGTTACTTCAACGTGTCATACCAGTGTCGGCCCTGCTTCCTCTGTCCTGCCTTGCCAGTTCCATATCACTAATGTTGAGTTACTTCGCTAAAAACCTGACCCATATATCAATCGTTCTTGCTTTCCACGGTTTCTGCCTCGCAGCCATTTACGTATTTTCCACGCTCTTACTCATGCAGCACTTTAAAAAAAGAAGGTAATAACACGTTGAGGAATCATTTTAAATGGGAATCGTAACTTAAGTCTTCTTCTTCTTCTTCTATGATCTTATTATAGAGAAACAGGTTATTCAGGAAGCTATATAATCTTGCGGTGGATTAAGCAGATTAAAGATATATTGCACAGAGATCTGCCTTTGATATTACCGAACTTTCTTAGTTTAATGACACCTTCTGGATAACCCTGAAGTTAAAGAAAGTCAGCTAGAGCGCTTCCGAATTTTGTTCTGAGTGCTTAAGAAATGTAAATACTCAAAGTGGAGCAACTTTTTTTGTGACAGGTTTCCAGGCGTGAAATACTGTCGCTCCTGATGCACGCAGATAACAATATCAAAAAATCATTCGATCCTGCTATTTGATGTCTCATATTGTGTTTATATTTCTTTATCATCCTCACAGCAAAAATTTGATTCGATTTTACCTACTCTAATACCTTAACATGATATCGTGTCTTGGAATTTAGAACAGCTGCAAACGCGGTGACGTCCACTATATCGACCGGAGCGACAATTTTTGCGCCGAATGCGATGCAGGCTCTTATTACGTCCTATGGTGTTCGCAATGCCCTCCTGATCACCGGAGTATTTGGCCTAGGGGCCGTCCCGTTCTCGTTGGGTCTCCGGACACCTCGGTGGTATTCCCCACAGTGCGAAACTTCCGGAAGAGTTAACAGAAATCTTTCTACCGAAGGTAAATTTCTAAGCGATCACAAGTTGCCATTCACCCCAGAACAGAAGTGTCCCTATTTATATAAAAAAAACTGCTTCGTCCAAAAATCGGAGAAAAAAGTTCCAGATTCAGAAAAATGTTTTCTAAAGGATTTAAGAACAATGAAACTGTACTTTGTAACAGAGTGACTATGTATACAACTGCTAATAATCCTTGTGGTTTTTAGTTGAAGCTGGTGATATAATGGACGCCGAAAAAGAACGATTTGCCTCAGACGAGATCTCTTCCCCTCGTTCTAGACGCAGTATGACAGCCTCTTCGACGCGTCAGCACCCTTACATGCTCACCCCACGTTTCATCGTGCATGTAATTTCGGTGACGATAACCTACAACGTAATGAATTTGTTCTTGCTCCTTGCGTACGATCACGCGCTAAATATAGGTAAACGGCTTCTCTACTATAGACTTATTTTCGCTATTGCATGTGCACAGCCTTGCAGCTGCACGCGTGCAGTGTACTGGTAAAGTGTGTAATATACATGCCATTGTATATATATATTGACTATTTGGAATACTATACAACAGAACAGGCTCAGCTTAACGTTCACCTCCTGGTCCGTGTGAGCCTTAGGTGCTACGTAGTTACGATTATAAGAAGACTTGGAGCCTTGCGCCGTTTCGAAAGCGCTTGAACAAGGTTCCATTAATATGGAGTTAAAATACCATATGATTACATTCCAGATATATAGAAATATCTAAACAGTTCGATATTGATCAATTACTACGGCAGCATAACTATATAAAATATTTGCAGGTATCCCCGAATCATCGGCCCTGTATGTCCTGCCAACGTACTGTTGCGGCGACCTGCTAGCAAGATTCGTCTCTGGCATCGCTATAGATGCTAACTTAATTTCATGGCAGAGTGCTCTGGCTTTTAGCTACACGGTTGAGGTCTGTACTACTACAGTTTGTATTGACATCGTGCATTTTACCCTAGGGAAGTAGGTATGTATGTATGTATGTATGTATAACAAGAAACAAAAAATAAAGCAACGCTGAGATACTATTGTATCGGCTTCGTTCGTTTCATATGAGTGCGTTTTGGATAGAAGCTGCACAGACGTTATTAAAAACGTTCTGTGATGTGACGCTGCTATACGTAATCTGTTCTCACACAAGTATAATATTCTGTAAAGATTAAAATCTTTTCTTTGGATTTGTTTATAATCTAATCGGAGTGAGATGACTGGTTTTGCATCAGTGGACGAATTATCTCTTTTTTTTTCTTCTTTGAGCTTCTTTTAATGTCTTTCAGTTGCTAATAATAATAATATAAATACCCAATTTAAATTGTTAATTAGTTACTATTTAGTTTTAATTTTATTATTTTTTTTTTTTATCCAAGGAAGCTAATTGTTGCTTTAAAGGATGAGTATATGGCTTACAAGGGGATTTAAAAATTTTTCATATTTATAGGTATTCTTAACGCCAGTCCGTTGCTGGCTTTATTATCCCTATCTGTGCTGCAATATCTAAACATATAGAAATTTTTTCGTCTCGTTTTAGTTTGCCCACAGATTTGATAGCTAAAATCTATTTTTTTCTTTAACAGGCCATCTGTCTGGTTTTCTTGGTGACGAACTCCCTCTCAGTCGTGTTCATCGTACTTTCATTTGTAGTGGGCTGTACCTGTGGCGCCAAAGTTACCCTAGTTCCTGTACAGTTGGTCAACGATTTCGGCCTAAATCATCTTGTTCCTACTACTGGCGTCGCGCTATTCGTCTGCGGATGCGTCACGATTGCTCGTCCCTGGCTTGTCGGATACTTTGGCGATGTCCAAAGAAGTTACAATGGCTTGTTTCTTCTCGTTGCATTTTGTTGCGCTCTTTGCTCAAGTTACTGGATGAGCAGAGTTACACGTCTAGCCCGAACAAATTTTTCTAGGCAATCTACCGTGGCGCAAAACGACAGCCAAGCCCAAAATGCGTAGCGAACTCTGAACTACCATGGCGGATATTTATGGCACGGATCGAGCTCAGGCGATTCGAATTTACTGTACATTCTACACACCTATAAATGCGTTTCTATTATTCCGAGCTTAATTTATGATGGAACTAAATATCCAACGATGTATTAAGTTCCGAGATTTTCATTTGAGTAGTATTAACTGTTCGCGGCCATCCTTCGCCAGCGTATTGATTCAGTTTTCAGAATTGAGATGGGCAATTATCGATGTCGCCCACAATATCTCGAGAACAGGGTCAGGCCATTGACCATGGGCTGTAGTTGGCGACGTGGTAGGCTTGAACAACGACACCTAATAGACGTACGCAGCTCGCATCGGCCAAAGCCTAACACACACCGGCTGTCCGACTCAGCCTTCGGCCGACATCTTCATTGTTAAAAAGATCAATTTCAGGTATTTCTTTTCGAACCTATCGAAATCTATTGGTGAAAAAAACAATTCTTCTACGTAGAACACTATGTTATATGTGGGTGTTTAGCCGGCATGTTCGATAGTCCACTTATGCAAAAATCTTGTGTCAGTGGATCTGATCCTTTTAGTTGTCCTGCTTATTAGGAGACATGCAAATTGATCGTAAACTATATATAGATCGTGAAAATAGATCTATTTATATAAAAAAAAAAAAGCAATGAGCGCTATTATGCATCCTGCATCTATAAATCGTTGTATCCGCGTCTGCTTTCTACGCCGTCCATCTGTGAAAGGTGGCAGCGTAAGCCGAACTCTGCCAAGTGGTCAGTCATGTTATTTTAATGAGGCCAAATTCAATACTGTCAATTCAGATGGCAACGATTAGGAACGACATAAAAATCCACCTTATTTTTTAATGTTACTAAGAACCAATTTCAAATATAAAAAAAAAAAGCTACGTATTAATTAGATGCTATTGGACATACGTTGTCGACTACAGAATTTTATAAACATAAATTTTATTGTACTTTCAGAGAATTGGAACAATCCTGTGTCTTGATTTGTGGCGACTGTCCTCATGGAACAGAAAACAATGATTATAACAACAACTTCTGCTTGTTTTTGAAAAACAAACATAAGACGAAATAGAATGTGTAACACTGCGTTGTACTGCAAAATGGATTACAATTCAAGCAGCTAATGGTATGATCCTTTCAGTACGTATAGCAATTTTATGATATGCACCGTACCTTTCGTTATTTTTTAATAACAAACATACGCGACTTCAACGAGCCTTCTACCGATGCCTTCGAGGCAAGAGCTGGTGCATTGCATTCAAACAACACACACACTTTTTACCAAAAGGGCACTTGAACTACGAAGCCCTATTAGTGATTAAGCGAAGTTCAACATTTCTAAAAAAAAAAACTTCGTTAAATTCATTGAATATACACGACACCTATAATGATCGTTTACTGGTTTTATCAGATCAACAGCATAGCGGTAGGCTTGCTTTAGGTGACTGGCTCGTGCTGAACAGTTAGCAATTGTAGAACAATATGTTCGGCAACCTTTCAATGGAAGCAGATCAAATCAGAGGAGATCATCTGTGAACTATAACTGTATTAGTTAGAGAATATCTGACCGATGTAATATTAGGTTGATTGGCATTCATTTCAGATGACAGTGTCTCGTATCAGAGAAGTCCGTCTCGTCGAAATGTCGCAGGTGTTTGCTAACAGTGGTTTGTTGTATCTTACGGCATGAAAAATGAGAACCAAAGGTTGAACTCAGCGTAATTTTGATGGTCTAGTTCTCAGTGGGCAGAGAAAAATGGGGGACAGTTGACAGACGGCCCTAGGGTTACATAGATAAGAAATGTACAACGTAATTTTGTTCGAGAAAAATCCCCTTCCATTACAGCTCTGGTATCCGAAACAGATGGCGGACATATGATTTTCGAATTTCTGCAGTCTCGTCGAGTTCTGAAAGCTAATTTGACTTGGAAGGATTTTCCGAACAAAATCGATACAAAATAAATTAAAATAATGAATTTTTATTTTATTCAAATTATGTATCTTGGACAAAAATCTGGCTAGTCCGAACAAAATCAGCTTACCAAGATGGTATCGTGGATAACATCTACAAATTTACCGTTTTCGGCAGGAGGCACGTAAATATCTTTATCGCTACTCGACGTTGTTTGGCGTGCTGAGCACCAGCCATAAGTACCGTCGCATAACGTAAAGCATCAGTCAGAGTTAGGCTTGTCGACGGCAAACTGTTGACCGGTTTCTCTTGACAGGGTATTTTTGCACAGCATTAGTTACCAAACACAGAAGTGGTAAACTATTCGTTCGAATATAGTTGTAAGACTACCAACGTAGTCTGCATCTGGATTTTTGGTATCTTTTCTACGCTGCTCAGATTCAACTTAATCAGTAGTAAGTCACGCACAGCGTATATCTGTTCTGTGCAGCATGCGTATCATACTTATCCGTGGCACGGTTTTCAAGAATATGTATTACTTCGGTTAAAGACGTCCTATTTGATAACTTAAGTATGGAAAATGGTTAGAAAAACAGCCGTCAGAGGTGAGTGTGGTCAACAAGACAGTCACCTGTCGTTGGGCTTGATTGGTATCCTGTCTAACGCGGTGCCACGATCTTTGCCTTCGATTCCTAAGAAATAAATCCTATTGACTTAACAGTATAAATATAGACCTCCAAACTTGCTTTTGTGGCTTCATGGTCTAACTAACGACTGGAAAATATACATAGCTTTCCTTTAGCAAAACATGTTTAAGGCAGAGTTAGCAGTTATATATATATATGTAGATATCTGTTGTATGAATGTGCTGAACTGTGGAAGCAACTATGATGGGAACATGCTTTTCCATCGGAGCGATCTTCATGCCACAGGGTAGCTCGTCTTCACTTGACTACCAGAAACCATATAGGCCTCCCAGGGGGCACTTTTTTCGTTTTCTATCCTTCAAATGTTCCATTAAGGCCTGTGTTCTTATTGACCAGCGCTATACCCTCAGATCCCGTTTCTATTACGGAAGGTGCCTACGTGACGCCCGCGCGTCACGTTCCAAAGCTTCCTTCATTTCGTGAGCTCGTCTATTCACTATCAGTCCACAACTAGAATCAGTTTCTGTTTCCCAAATACAGATGCTCTCGTTCACACACGTGCGTAGACACGCAGCCACACGTATAGACGGCCGCAACATGACTAGCTATATTTCGACTTGGATGCTTCTGTCATTGAGTCCCTTTCCGGATAACTACTATCCTACAGGGGTCCAAAGGAACAGATACTGCTAGCACCCTGTTTGCTGCTCAGTCTGGACTACCAGGAAGGTGGCGGTCCCTGGCGGGCACCGGCGAAGATAATCTGGGGGTCTCTGCTGTAGCGTACGCGTGCGTTACATGTATCGGGACAGACTCGGAACCGACGGAATGAACTGCGGGAGGGGTAGCTAGTGCTGATAGTCGTGCAAGTACGCTTATAGCAGCGGCCGGCCAAACGTTGGTGCTCTTCTCTTTCCCAGTAGAGGGAAAGGGCAATTGTAGGCTTGTTGTGGTGAACACGAGTTGGCAGGGGCCACCAATCAGCCCCGGCGACAGGCGCGGGAGTGCAAAGCATGCGGCAGGTTCACCAGCGCAAAGACAAGCAAAGTGACGCTAGTCTCGCTGCAACACGGCATGAGGAGTCCACAAAGATGGCACCGCAAAAAGTAGGAATTGCTGACGCGGTCAGCCGCAGCCACGAAGACGGTTGCGACAGCAGCGACTGTTGAGTGCGTCGAGTGACGGTCTACTACGGCTACTACGAGAACACTAGTTCGAATCAGTTAACGGTTTGTCAACGGACCGTGGTAGTAGGGCCGGCCTTCGAAAGCTATCGAGGTAATAGCAGCAGCGGCTGTGTCCAGTGTGGGAAACGCGATAGTAGTAATGCGGCAAACTAATCTACGGGGCTTACTACCCCAGCTTTGGCAACTAAAGTTTTCGAAACAACAACAACAACAACAGCGGCAACAGCGAGTTCGGCCTCGCCACGCGCCTTCCGGCGGCGAAGACCTGTTGACTCTTGTGCTTCTTCCTTCTCAAACTCCTATTGAACCACAGAAACGGTATTAGCAGTAATAGCAATTTTACTGGGTTCCCCTGTCTCTTCTCTGCCGTCCAGTTTCAAGTACGTGCGCGAGCTCAGCCTTTCTGCAGCAGTGCCATAAACAGGAAACCATACTACAGAAAAGAACCAAGAAGGCAACACCGAGGACAAAGTCCGCTCCTGCTGCCGCCAACAGCTGTGCTTTGTCCTATCGATAGTAACGGTAGCAAGACGTCTCACGATTCTCCTGCTGCAACTTTGCAGGTACGAAAAATTTGACTTCCAGAGAAAGGATAGTAAAGGTTCGATTCTTGAAATGATCATGCGACCACTGTTCATGACTACATTACCTGCATCCGTAACCATGTGTCGCCACCTGTATCAGAGTTGTTATTGTTGTTGTTGTTACCAGTTACACTGGCAGCATTTATCTGACGTTAGTCAACTTTCCTGCTCTTGATCAGCAGCAGAAGAGGCCAGGGACATTAGTATCCGAAATTCGACCTGAACCTAGTCCGCAGCAACGAGGTCAGGGTCTATGCTTTGTTTATGAAGCAATTACATTGGGAGATACAGCACCGTAATTATAATCGTGAAGTGAATGTCATTGTTGTTATTATTATTTGGAGTAGTTGTTAGGCGCGTCATAAGCCTGTAGCCTTATTTTGTACGATGTTGTATAGGAAGGCAACGTGTGTGTCAGGTACATTACGGTCGATTGTTAGTAGATAATTGTGATAGAAGGAGTAGATAATTGCGCGTGTCGAAAGTGCCTTCGCGAACAAGAAGAAAGGTTAGCGTTTACTAGAAGTTTTTCTTTTTCTCTTTTTGTAACAAACGACAGCCTCGGCTGAGCTAAGTGACGTACGTGACGGGCGAAAGACAGACAGAAGCCGATTCCGAGGACGAGGACGAAGGCGACGGCGACGACAAAGAGGACTGCGGCGCGAATTGTTTTGACGATTAAGCGTCGTCCAACTTCTGCGGCAGCAAGTGGAGCGGCAGCGCGTTAATCCCGCATCGCCCCCACCGTTGCATTCTCTCCGGAGAACCCAATCATAACAGCTGTTCTGTCCAGGGGGGTTTGCTTTTGTGCTATATGAACACATATACCGCAGCGTCGTTGATTTGTTCCTCGTTTGCCGTAAGTGCGTCCGTGTAACGACAAAGAAACAAAACTACTAGACTGGCAACAATACAAGGAACAAGTAGGAGAAGAAAGAAAACAGTGGAAGTTAAGCATAATTATCCGTAGTATCGAATCTCATAGGTTAATCATGATAAACAGTAAAGTTTCAGCAGAAGGCGAATAACGTTAGCCGATGCGTGTCTGTGCCTGTGCTTCTCTTTATGCCTCATTCTCATAATAACCTCGTATGTATTTCGTTAGAACTAAGGTGGTAAGGGCGCGCGTACATTAATCGCGATTTCCCTGTCACCCATCGTTTGTACGGCGTTAGACGTGCTTCTCGTCGCCACCGGCAGGAAGAAGTGTACAGGTCGGACGAGGGGCAGAAGCGATAAAAAAAGATAGAAGATAGCGCAGCGAGACGATACCCAGTCGGTAGCAGCTACTTAGCGGGTTGCTTACCTTCTGGTTCGTTGTTGTTGTTATTGCTGCTGCTGCTGTTGTTGTCGCTGTTCTTGTGGTCCTGTCGAACGACAAGTTGTTGTTACTAAATCCAGCTTTGACCGTTCTCCCGCCTGTGGCTACCATTTGGTGTGTCTCTCTTCACTGTCCAGTGATCGTGCACGTACATATAAGTGTGAGTGGCTGTAACCGAAAAACTTAAAGGAAAACCACTATAACTGACGGCAGCGTCAACTCGGTACGTTGTTGTCCGGGAACGCGATTCGCGATTTGTATATTGTGGATACAGAGGGATAAAGCGTTATCGTCTTTGGATTAGCTGGGATTAGAGAACTCAACGCAGATTCCGGCCCTCTATCATATATGCGTTATCTAACGTTCACTTCATGCACCGGCTTTCCATTCACTGTTTCGCCGCATATGCAATCGAGTAATCGTGCAAGTATTACGCTGATCCGCTGCAGTAGATGGTCAACTTGTCAGACGAGCAGAATGAAGTGTGATTTTACACTACTTTGGTTTTAATAGCAACGAAGATTTCTGCTAGTTAATGAGCACTCAAAACACAGCAAATAACGAGCGTGCGACGAGTGCCGCCAGTACTCAATAGCCGCAAACTCTGCGAACAAGTAGTCACTCATTATCCATCGCCTACATAATATTTCCCGCCCCGAACGACGTGGTTGTACCACTGTCATACTTCAGGCCGAAGGGCAAGTAACAAATAAGAATAGTAAATAAGGAAAAGCAAGCAATTGCAACGACAGCAGTCGAGATTTTGTTTATCAGTTAGAGAATCCTTTCAAACATGTCGTCTCCTTTAGTTACGACGAGCCCATTAATCAACAGACAAATGCAAAGCAAGCGATAATCCACTCACATATTTATTCACCAATTTATCGACCGACCAGCTACCGATTTTCCAGTAAAACTACCATCATCCCTGTAGTCGCGGCATCCATCCACCTTAATCAGCTGTTCGACAACAGCCACCGAGCCTAAACACAGGCTAACAAACAATCCATTGTTGCACTATTACTAGCGGGAATTTTCCACCCAACTACATCTAGACCAACGGCAATGTTATTCCCATGAAAGCGACTTAGAGCAAACAGCTAATCGATTAGCTACAAAGCCAAACAAACAATCAAATATGGCAAAGTAATATTTGAACAAACAAACAAACCCAACATATCTGTTATTTCACCACAGCGGTATCCCGTAGTATCGGCAGCAACTGATAGAGACCACCAATTCGTTGTCTTGATACCTACGATTAATTATCTCCGCCGGTTTCACTATTAACAGATGATTTTTGCCACTAGCCTCAAGCGTCGACGCTGTAAATCTGCGCGACGGCGCGAATTCACTCAGTCGAGCAGGTAAAGGACATTACGGTAAGGTATCCCTCAGCTGCAACAAAAGCCCGAGGCTGTTGACAAAGAAGAAATTCGATTTATTTGACGGAACAAAGAAATCCATCGCTCCGTAATCTATACCCTACCGTTATCAGCGCATAATACGGAGACCCGCTCGATTAGATGGACCTGTGGCAAAATTAAAGCAACCAGTGATACTCCCGGTACCGGAAGCAAACGCTACTGCCTGTTCATCAACCGATAGGCCAAGTCGGAATAAATCCAACTAGCTAACAATACCATCAGGCAAACCTGAAAAGGTAAAAAACAAGGGAAAGACTAGCTAAAATTTTATTCAGTTTTAAGAACAAACGCCTACGTAAAATTGTCCAGCCTAGAACACGCGCCAGGGGTTCTACCCATGACTATACGTTTGGTATCAAAGATCAAGATGAATTCAGTCTGTCGCGGTTGAAGGCGTGCTCGGTACGAAACGAAGGTCGGATCATGTTTCGCCTTTCTCGTTTTGTAGATCTAAGCAAAAATATGTATCTGAACACTACATACCTCGGGCCGGTTGAGGCGTTGCAACGTGGTCCCAAGGAAACTGCCGACCTACCCAAGATTCTTCACTGAAGAGAACGATTCCAACATCAAGCACGCGACCAAGACATATAGTATGAGCGATGCCTGTGTACGATGCCAGCTTACCGGTTAGTGATACAAGCGTGTGCTTCGTTCGTGCGTGAGTGTGTAAAGAGAAATACATTAGGAAAGCTGATGCGTATCAGCCAGCTATTACTAATCAGGACAAAGCGAATATAGTTTCTATTCGACAGAGCTGTCGAACGCGATCACCTACAATTGGCCTTCTAGTAATTGGTTAACTGTCTAGGTGACGCTAATTAAGCCAGCAATAGCAACCTCCAATGGGCCGACGATTGGTAGACTAGGAAATAACAGAAATATCAGCCCAGCAGCGACAGTACGTAGAATCAACAGCCGTAACGTTTCACCAGTATACAATCGCCGTTGGCTGACATGGGCAAGAAGAACAGTAAACTGAAGGGGGAAGTAGTTGCCCGGCTCGCCAAGGAGACATATTGTAAGTACCGATAAACGTAGCAGACACAATTCGAATCGCATATGAACATGACCCATCACTGCACGCGTAGGTAGGTTTCAAGGGTATACACATGAATATACGTCAATTTAGCATACTGGATCATACATTTTTTTCTGTGCTTATACGTACTATTTGGATTTATAAGATCGTACATCAGACTGCACAGTATATATACGCTCGCACATTTGCATGCATTTCTATCCATATGAATTTACCATATCTGGATACCATCATATCCATATGAAAATAACCAACAGGTCCTTTTTTTCTAATCCCATAATTAAGGCCAAACGTCACTAAACGTTCGGTGGATGTAATTAAGTTGAGGCTTGTCGATTAATTCAGATCTGCTGTATCGATGCTCATTCAGATCGTTTTTCAAACTGGTTCTTAGCTCCCTGTGCCCGCTTTGTCTTAACACAGTCGATTGCATCCTTCTTTTGTAAGTAGCTTTCTATATTTTGATCGATGGACTGTAATTGTTTTTCCCCGTAAATTGTATGCGTCATTGTCATAATATGTGCACTTATCGGAATCCATCTGAACTGCGCCGTTCGGTAAGTCTACCTTGCGTTCGGTGCAAAGGAGTCGAAAAGGTTTAGAACCATCCATCAGCGATCTGCAGTGATGACAGTCCAATCAATAGAAATGTATCAACCAGATGAAGTCAGCCGGTAGACTTGGCTTGGTAGATTGGCGCCAATGTTTTATGGGCGAAAACTAATTTTGCACATAGTGAACTGCTGCAGCGGCTAGCTCACAATCATCGCCATTACTAAAAAAAAAAAAAAAGTACGCGCGTCCAATGTCTACATTCGTCTTGTCCAGGGACCCACCCGTTGAGTAGACCAAATGAGTCCCATAAACATACTGCGAAATATGGCACACTGCGAAAAGCTGTGGAAACCATGCTTATCTGGGTCTTCTTTCTCGCAGTACCAGGTGACGTTGTACTCGCTGTCAGCTCAACGCCTGTGACCTCAACATATAGGAATCTTGATTGATGATCGCCAGTTACACAAGCGTCCTCGACAACGAGTACCAAGTGCACGAATCTGATGTCTAGTTGGAGCGAACAATGCTTCAGCAGAAACTCTACAAATTTCTGCTGACACATTGTTTTTCTCTACGAGCAGACATCATGCCGCAGTCAATAAACGCGCAGTTATGCGCAGCGGTCCTATTCAGCAGACCGAAGACTAGCCTTCTACGTAACACAGTATACGAACGTCCTCTCTCTACGGAACAGCCCATAAATTGCGATATTCAGTTGATCTGAACATTATCGAAAGTCACCATTGGCTGGCGGGTCCTTTGTTCAGTTGTATTTGACTTCTAAAGCATTTCTGCATAACAATCATCTGGGAAACTTTCTCGTCGTAGCGAGACGTAGAGAGATTGGGAACGTAGAGAGAGTTGGGAGTCACGTTGGGCCTTTTTAATAGTTTCTGTTACTGCTGTTTGTTCGACAATGATGGTGCGGAGCCTTCAGCGTAAAGTCAACTTTTCGTTGAAAGAAGACGCACGACATTCTGGGGCTGTTCGCACATCTGCTAGTATACAACTATTGAGATTATTTCCACCCTCACCTAATTAATTTCACAGAGTCTAGAAGCTGATCGAGGACGTCTCGCTTCAATGCCATAGTCGCCGACCTAACTGGACTCAAAGTCCTTTTCATTGCATTTCTCATTAGTTCTCAGTTATTCGTTGAAAGTGTTTGTATTAATATTGCTGATGTGCGCCTATGTTCTGACTTTTCTATTACTGTATTGTTATATACGGTTCAGTTCGAAGTAGATATAACAGCGTCTGGTCCGACCATTTTTTGACCGGTGAATAGTTCTTTCGGCAGCTGGTTAGGTAACTTCGATAGTTATTTGTCGTTTCGATGCTAGCGCCAGATCGGAAGCGTATTGTCGCTTCCAAAGTATGTTTTCCTATACGTTCGCTAGCCGCTATTCGCTCCCTAGTGCGTCTCATAGTATGCATCGAGGATATAGCATCAACCAGCTGAGGCTCGCCAGCAGTATCATCGTTCTAACTATAATGTCTAAGCAAAATTCAACTATACCGTGGGTGTCTTCCTGGTGTAAGTGGCAGTACCTTCATTACTGACTAAAGATTGTATTCCATAATTTTTCTTTCCTTCAAAGCATTCTATGGCCTCGATATACCAATTGTTTAGCATTCGTGTAACTCGAAATTATGAACGGTCCGAGCAGTCTGCGTTGCTTTGACGACACGTAGGCTGATACCGCAACAATAATTCTGTGTTTAGTAAAAAAAATATCATCATAGAGAAATCGATTTTCAAATTACATTCGTTGCTTGCGAGTGGCAAAAGCTTCAGGATCTCCGTGCGCGTATTGTGATGCTACCAGGGCGGCTAGATTTTGAGGGGAAATCTTTTTAAATCATCTAACCTGAAACCGATAGATAAGCCAGGCAACCCTCGGATTCTCTTCCAGTCCAGCTGTTGTTAAATCATTTAGAGAATTTATTGACTACACTGATAAGTTCAGTTGCGATGCCACCTGCTAATTAACATCATTTGTTTTTACCTTTTCCTTTTAGCTCTGCTGTCGATTATTTGGCCATATATTTGTTATTTTTAGCCGATCGCAATAATGTCCCAACGGATTCATTTGACAACAAAATAGTCTTCAGTAGACGTGACTGCACCCGTAAAAGTTTGTTCCAGAGAGGGAACTCTTCATCTTACATTCAGGGCATTTTTTTTTTTACTAAGATGTTAATTCAGGCTTTCGGTACTCTTCGTCTCTTCAAGTAGCTTCACTGGGTTCTTGCAATTATCGATGTTGCCCGTGCCATTCATATGAGCGCGCCCGTGAGAGCTGAACGGAACATGAGCGTTTTCGCAGTCTTGCGGTCAAGATCATCGTCGTCGTCGTCGTCGTCGTCGTCGTCGTCGTCGTTGTTGTTGTTGTTGTTGTTGTTGTTGTTGTTGTTGTCGTCGTCGTCGTCGTCGTCGTTGTTGTTGTTGTTGTCGTCGTCGTCGTCGTCGTCGTCGTATGCACATTGGTCTCGTGTGCATTGCTGTACATACTGGCGTGCATACTAGCGTGCTTTGGTGTTGTTGTTACCGTCCTTGCTAGAGTAGGTGCGGTGTTTGACTGGGCTGGAATAATTTGGCAACGATTTAAGTGGTCAACGACCGGTGAATCCAACTGTGTTTGCAACAGTGCAGTGCTCGACGGATCACCACCGGTTCCCTGTTTTTTCGACATGTTCTATGCCACTTCTGCATAATGGGATTACAAAGAAAGCTCCTCCGGCGGTGAATCTCTTTTCAACCCAAAACTATACTGAACATTTGGGTTCACTTTTAGCGTATTACCAATTGATATCAACAATTGACAGCTTAGCGTGCTATAACAGTTCAGAACGCGGAAAAGCTGATTTGTTTTCATCAAGACCGCACAGCAGTGCTTGTAGTCGCTGCTAGTATGTAATGAAAAGCAAATATATATAAGCAATACAGTTTTGAGGTTGATGGACAAGGTTACATACTTTTTTTTTTTTTTTTCGTTTAGTAACGTGGTTTACCGACGCCGTCATTGAAAACTCAGTCGAAATCAGGACGTTATACCTTGTCATTTAAGAAAACGCACTAGACGTTCTTATCCTTCCGCTGTCCACTGGCTACACGAAACCATAATATTTGTCTGTCTGTACTGAGGGTTGGGCTGTCATGGTATTAACACACAGACGACATATATGCATAGAGTATGTAGTGCATACATATGTTTCTTTTCAGTAGGTGTTTTCCTCTAGGGATTTTAAACGACTATGTATATAGAGAGATAGAAGGAAGGTTAGATAGAAAAGGGGCCTGAAAAAATCGGGTAGTACGCGGTGGCCTCAGGCTGGACGAATCGACAGAGGGAAAAAAAAAAAAAACTCCTGACCGAGTGTGTGCCGGTGTTACGGCATTTGTGCCTAAGTCTGTGAGTGGCGGGTGCTTTTGTCTCCTTCTCATTCAGGATCAAATAAGAAACCTAGAAGCAAAAAAGGCTTTTCCTCATTTATTGTATTGCCGGAAAACGGTCACCTGCGGGGACAGCAAAGGCAACAGAAGTAGCACCGGCAGGCCTGCCGCCATGTCGGCCAGGACCACCGCTAGTGCTAGCAGTCGCTGTCTTTTTGGTGGGTGATGGCTTCATCGTTTGTTCTTTGTGGGTCGTTCAGCCGATGGCAGTAGCTGTGGTAGTCGCGGAAGCGGTGCCCCTCTCCGCGACGGATGCCCCTGGTTACCTGGTGCCGCTTTGCCAGTCCCCCTCATATCCCCGCAGCCTTCTTGCCGCTTGCGTTCTTGAAAACTCTGGCTAGCCAGTTTGGCCTGGTTGCTTGTGCGAAGATGCTGGAGATGGTCTAAAGTCAGCCGCCAGCTGGCCGACTCCTCAGAGACCGTTTCTATTTGTGGCCTCGGGGCATAGTAGGCGATAAGCGGCAAGTGTTGCACCGAGCGAGTCTTATGATGCTGCGCGACCCTGTGCGCACCGTTTGGTCGAACGGGACCTCCCTTCCACGAGCTCCGCTGGCCAGTCAACGTTAACGTTAGCCGAATAAACTAAGTACCGCAACCGTCGTTCCTTGCTACCACTGGTCGCTACGTACTCCATAGGAATTTAACTTGTCGAAGAAGAAACGGCGCCCACTAACTCTCGAGCCTTTTTCATCTCATACATATCAAGTCGGGCCTAGATCTTAGCTCACCTTGCTTTCTCGACTCAGTCGGAATCAATGCCAGCCGGGATCGACCCAACGGCTAATAGCTAAACTTAAACCTAAACATCTTTGAGGAGTTTCTTTTGTTGCTCGTGTCGATTGGTCGGCCGCTCAGTAGGTCGGTAGATCAGCCGCTCTGCAGTATCTTATACATCCTACTTGCCCATAGCCTCAAACCTTAAAGCTATCGGCATTCGGACTAGCAGTAGACAACGACTAGGCTGAGA